ATCATTCTGAAAGAGATTAAGAATGTTTTTAGAATGTTGGAAGGGAGCTACTGAGGAAGGAGTTACTGTTGTTGAGGAAGGAGGCTTCCCCCGGTTGTTAAGGTGGGAAATTCCTCATCACTGCAATCAGTATCTGGTTTGGAAACTGGAGGAAGTACAGAGAGAAACAGGAGAAACCCTATGTTCACTGGGTTCATCTCTTCTCCCTCAGGGCATGTCTACATTGGCTATTATTTTGAAATAACAAGGCGAGTGTCCACACTACCAAGCCTGTTATTTTGAAATAATGATCTTGTCATTTTGAAATAATAACTCCTACTTGTGAAGAGGAATCGGCTTATTTTGAAATAGTTATTTGGGGAGTTATTATTTTGAAATAACCTGGTAGTGTAGACAGAGGCTTTACTGAGCTCTAGAATGCAGCATCAACCTAGGAAATGCCTGAGAAAGACATGATTCTTTAATTTTTTTCCCTCAGAATTATCATCCACCCACTGCAGCGCCTTCCTCACACCCAATACTGAGAAACATACTGAGCATGTCATCACTGTGTGAGACATAAGGCTAACTCAGAATTGTTAATGGAAAAACTCCAGCAATAAATTGACATTAGAGATCTACTGCATATTTGAGAGAGTCTGTCTATCTGTCCATCTGTCTGTTAGTTTGAACTCCTCCTGAACAGTAAGAGCTAGAACTGCCAAATATGGTATGCACTTTCCTCTTACCATAACTTAAAGCAAGGTGAGAGATTGGTTGTGCCAGGAAAATGGGATGTGCCTGGAGTGGGATTACTTCTCAGAAAACCATACAGAAAAAAAGACTGAATCACCAGGCAGGTGAAAAGGTCTGGCTAGGGGGCATGCTTCTTTCCTCCTCTCCCCGCCCCCCATCCAGGAGTGCTCCAGCTCCAAGTTCCCTGTCCCCTGATTCATACAAGAACTTTGATGGCTGTTCTCCTTCATCAGGGAGCTAGGGGAAAGTGCACAGTTCCCACTTTGGCTGAGGAGTGCAGGGGGCAGATGAACCTGGACCTGCCCCAGCTGGGGGACATACACCCCGCCCATGGCTGTGCCTACTCAAACTTCTTATCTGGCGTCAAACTGCTATGTTGAGAGAGGGCTGGGGTAGTCCTCTCTTCCCAGGGAAGCCTCATTCCCAGCCCCACCCCTGAGCAATGATTTAAATGAACGTCCTCTCTTCCCAGGGAAGCCTCATCCCCAGCCCCACCCCTGAGCAATGATTTAAATGAAGAAAAAAAAATTAATTCAGTGAAGAAAGCAAGCAATGCTGGATAAATCTTCTAGAATTAAAATATAGAAAAAAATATTTCAGATAATTTATACTTTCCTAAGAGTTCTGTTTTTGGAACTATAATTTTACAGATATATTACATTAATTTAGTAAGGAAATTCTCAGGTTATCAGCTGCATGAATGTCCACAGGTTGTACATTTACTGTTATATATTTTATGTATTTTATTTTAGTGACAAAAACAGGGATCTACCCAGGAGGAGTTTTAAGAACATGTCACAGAACTAGCTATATAAAAAAATAAAATCATAATAAAATTAGACAAAATTCTCAAAAAAACCAATAACAACTTGCAATAAATATTTGAATAGGTGAGTAAATTAAATGTTCAGAAAGGGTAGGCTAACCCAAAGCATTTTTTTAAAATAAAAAGCCTTGTGTCAAGATTGAAGAGTCAAGTCTTGATGGGGTTATACATTTGTGTTAATGTGCTTTGCATTACGCAACTGGTAGAGTGATTGAAGACATTAAACCACAAGTTTTGTGTGCAGTTATGCAGGACAACTACAGAACTTAATTGGAATGCACCTAGTTTTTAATGGTAATCTTAATAAGGACATATGAGATTTATAAACTAATTTATTCAAAATGTTACTCCTGAAGGAATTCTGTACCCCCCAAAATCTGCATATGACATTTTAAAATTCTGCACATTTGTATTTGTCAATAAATAAATGTGAAGGCTCCAGCATGGCAGCGGGGAGCACAAGCCAATGGCTGCATGGTGATGGGTTTTCACCCTAGAGATCTCCCCATGGGACATGGACTTAATAGTGTCTCCAACCAGTGATTTACCTCTCCACTGGCTGCTCAAGGGGACTGAAACAATATGCCTGAAATTATGTGCATATGTGGCTCAGGAGGGGGCTACATGTCTCCTGAGGCTTCCCTTTGCTTCTCATCAAAAAGCCATTTTTCTGTGGGGAAACAAACAAATCTGCAGGGGACATGAATTCCGTGCACATGCAGTGGGACAGAATTCTCACAGGAATAAAAATACAGCATTTTACAACTTAGTACTTTGAAACATAGGGTCAAATTCTACAGGCTTGACTCAACTTTCATTCAGCCTCTGCATGACATGCATCCCACTGGCTCAAACTTTGAAATTCCTGGTAAAAAATTGACAGTAATGGGATCTTTGAGCAATGACTTCAGGATAAAGAATGAAAGTAACTCTTTGGTCACTGAGACCTAACGATGTTAGGTTTTATTAGCTAGGTCACCTACCTGCCGATGCAGAACTGTTTCCTGGAGTAATTAGTCTTGTTGTTTTTTTTCTCAAATAGTTTTAGAAGTCCCAAGCAATGTGAACTATTCCACAAACAGGAAGTTTGTAGTATGAGGAAGTTTTCTTCTGCTACTCAGCTTGGATTTTCCAGTTTGATCTCATTGTACTTAGGGCAAGTAACTACTGCAAACAGACATTTGTTTGGATAAAAACTCTGAATTTATTTCAACAGCTTTCACAAACTTTTAATTCATTTTCAGGAATATGAGAGTGATATCTTGTTCAATAGGAGATTTGTAGAAAATGTTGCATATATTTGGCAGATAGGCATCTGGATGTGAATATTTGGGCAAATCTTCTCACCAGAGATGTTTAGGTAGATGAGGGAGAGTGAACTCACCACTAGAGCAATTCCTTACCTGTCATGACATAGCTGGTTCCTTCCCAGCATTATGGTTCCTCTTGCAGACATTCCAAACCTGTGGTGGTCTTCCTTCCCATAAATAAGCCCTCCTGCCAGGTCGTGATTTAAGTCCATCCTTTCTGGAGTAAGACAGACCCACAATTAAAAGTCCAAATGTGCTTACATCCAGGTTTTGGGACCCATCTTTGGGCCTTGTGATCTTTACACCCTTCACTCAGGGCTTTCCATCACCCATTTCCCGAAGCTCATCAGTGGCTAGCAGCGGATCTCAGGCCCTCCCTCTACCCCAAGTTCCAGGCCAGGGACCCTATAACCAGCAGCCAAGGTCTGCTCCAGAAAAGTGTCTTGCTGCTTCTTCCCTGGACTTCTTCCTACCTTGCCTTGCTCATCAGCTCTTCTTCTCCACGACCTCTCTAAATTCATGCCCCTCCTTCATGGCTGGGACCTTTAGGGCTGTTCCCAGGAATCCACCAACAAAATCTCAAGCCAAGTAGTATAAACTTAAAACCAACTTCCACCCTCTCAAGTTTCCCCTGTTTCATCCACCATTTAAATGCCTCTAAGAGCTTTCTATTGCCTTTTTAACATGAAGTGTTACTCAATGTGGATAAAAAGTGACAGAATCAGTCTCTGTGGTTTCATAAGAGCTGTCATAATCAGTAGTGCTGACCAGCACCCGGTCACTAAGGGGTTAACTAATATCTCCTTTATCTAGCCAGGTATTGGGTGGTCAGCCAATAATAATGCAGGTTGGAATTTCAAACTGGAAGAGAGGGGTTTTCTCTCTGTGCCCTTTGTTTGAGATTGAGAGCAGTTTCTTCCAAGTACCGAGGGAGATGGGAGACACTCCTCTCTCCAAGAACGGACTTCTTACAATGTGTAAGTAGGGAAAAGGTTCTCTAGTCTGTCAGGATTTATTGTTTTCCTTGTTTGGGGATGTGGAAACAATGTCTGAACTTCAGTGGGTTTTTTTCCCTTTTATAACTAAGTCTTCAGCCCAGGGACTTTTCCCTCAGAATCTACATCAAATGGTGGCTCTTTCCATCTAGCCAATTCACTATGCTTGCAACTGTAGTTTTGTTTTGATAATAAATGATTGTTTCTTTTTTCTAATTAGCTGGTATTGGTTGATTTTTGTGTCCTGGAATGTCCATCTGTGTGTATCTGCCTCTGACTGAGGGGTCAGCTACCAGAGACTGCAGCTTGTTTTTCTCTTTTTTTTTTCAAGCTCTTTTGGGGAAAAAGAGCTTGGGGTACCTCTGGGGTTGGTTTCAAGAGTCCATCCCAGTTTGTGGGTTCAAAAGCACTTGATGGTGGCAGCAGATTCCCCTGGGTATTAGGATTTTTGGGAGAAGTTTTTGTACCAGAGCCTGTAGAGGCAAAGTTTTGGAGTGCTCTTGCGGGCCCCCAACTCCTGCATTCGTCAACCTTCGGAGCAGAGACTGTGTGTTCGCATGGGTCTTAGATAATGGAGCCATGATCCTGACTGGAGTTTATAGGCCCCTGTTCAGTGTAAGTGTTAAATGAAATAAAGCATGGATGCTGTGCTAAAACTTCACTTTTAGCAAAGAGCAATGCAAATAAACTACCACACTTTCATCAGCTTTGACAATGTGTGTTGATTGTTTCACTGTTGCTGGGGAAGTGGCTGGTATTCTGATATTTTATTTGTGTGTCAAAGGGAGACAGTTTACTCAGCAGGTGGGTTTATTCAAGAGTTCTCTCTTGGATCATTTTAAGATCACTCTGATTTCTTCTTAGTGTTGTTCCAGCCTCAGTTGATTCTGGGAACAATCCCAAGTTTTAACTGGCTGCCAGATTTAACTGGCTACATTTAATTACATGAAACATGGCCATATAGCCAAAGATGTTTGTTTTATAAGCATTTGAGATACAAAGAAATTGTGCAATACAGTCCTTGAGGTAAATGCCATTTCACCTCAGCAATCCCTGGAAACTAACTGGCATGTTATCAACAATATGTACATACTGAGAATCCCATGAGTAGCCTTTAGCAGACTGAAATGTTGGTGTAGGAGTGACAGTGATTTCAGCAGCTATCCTGGTTCCTGGATGAGCTTTCACTTTAAGAACACTGCTGGATTTTCACAGTTTCTGATTAGAATGATGCTTTTATGAAAATTGTAATGTTGCTGACAGAAGAACGATGAGTGTCTGGTGTTTTCTGTTAGGGTCTCTGCAACCAGCTATTTGAACAGAATTTGAGGCCCTGCTTTCCGGGCGTGTCTTAATTACGGCTGGATGGAGGAGGCTGTGATCAATCCAACCGCAGTCTGGTACTCCACCTGAACAGGAAGTGCAAGAGGAGTCAATGGGCAAGCATCTGCAGTTGACACACTGTGGTAAGTAGATCTAAGGATGCTGGCTTCAGCTACATTATTTACATATGTTATTATGGGGGCACTGCTTCAGGCCCCCCATAATTCTCTGAATCACATCCTCCCTCGAAGGAGGGAGTTTCAGCAAGGGGTCAGAGCAGGGGGCTGGAAGGGGTGGAGCAAGGCTTGAGGGAAAGGATGGAGTGGGGGTGGAGCGGAGGCAGGGTCTGGGTGGGGGGTTGCCTGGACACATGGGGGGTTTTGCCCCAGGCCCTGTGCCCCCTCCCCGTGCTGCTGACCCCTACTGGCAGGGCTGCTCATGGGGGGCCGACGAATCT